CCCCCACGCCTCATTGATGGTTCCCCCCTCACATGTTTCTGGCTCTCTCACTTTCTCCATTGTAAAAAAAAACCTAGGCTTCTTCTAGATCTATGTTGCTTTGCCTTTCGGGAAACTTAATCGCCGAATGGACAGTGTGTTTGCGTTTGAAGGCGTACAATTATTATTTTATGAAAGTGGGTTCAAATCCCGGTCCCGGAAGTTGTTTTTTTTCCCCTCCCAACTGACCAACAATTTTTTCCTATTATTATCATTTGTTGCTTTGTAGTTTTTTATATAGTGATGAAGCATGCACATTCTGGAGGAGCATTTAGTTACAAAGTATACTTTTCCTTTTACCAATATTGCCCTGGTTAAAGTTAAATAGTGGCTTTACTTGGTGTGCAAATCTCATTCTGTTTTTAATTTTAGGCTCAAGAAGGCCAAATTTTAGCCCTTCAATTGCAAATTTTCTTCAGCTTCCGGGGGGCGTCGGCCCCCGGCCCCCCAACCTGGATCCATTGACCCGCACCAATTTTTTCTCCATTTTGGAATTTTGCTGTTGGAAGCACTGTAAAATGTATCCCAAGATATTTTTCTTGCATTTTCAGTGATTATCAGTCTCTTTGCTATCAAATGTCAGGCATAAATTTTTGTCTCATTTTGTAACTAGAGATAAAAAGTAGAAGCATACTGCTGTTGTTCCTGTCATTTACGGCTTTCCAGGATCAAGTTCAAATAGTGTCTCATAAGGTAAAGGCTAGAACATTTTTAACCAGCTAAAATTGAGAGTTGCCTGTTGAATTTCCTAAATGTATTGAAAATGACTGTGAAAACATGATATTTTATTTGTGTGGTCAGGTGGAGGACATGGGTACTGCGTCTCAGGTGGAGTGCCTGCTGGCAGTAGCGGCTGACACCATCGTGCTGGTGGAGCAGGTGAACAAGGACGTCATCTTCACCATACCCTGCAGCACCGTCATTGGATGGACTCCCCAGCCAAGCAGGTCAGCTAGGCGGCTACTGTAGTCGAAGCCAACTGATAATGTCTGAAGTTCAAAGACATTCTTGTGTCTGATGTTCAAACTTAAGATTATGATTCTTTTCATTGTGTGTAGAGGTAGATTTTTCCCATAAAAGCCCAGAGATGTTCCTGTTGTATCAGGTTTTATATTGCAGTAATTACTCAAAGGAAAGGTATAGGGTCAGATGGGTTTTTTGTTGTTGGTTTAAAAAAATTTTCATCTTAATAATCTTTGTCGGTCAGGGAAGTGGTAGTAAGTAGCATGACCAAAGCTTGACCTCATCCTGTGAGGTCACTTTGGAAGGCAGCCAAGGGCACTGCTACAATACGCTATAGATGTTTTGTTTGGATGAGTGGAAGAGATGGCATTGACTTGGCAGAGATTAGTTATTCTTTGGAATAGCAAGACAACTTGACAATGACAATGACAATCTTTATTCATCTCGCAGGGAGAAATTTGTCTTGGTCGTTAACAATGGCAGTAGACGTTACAAAGGTTAGACTTAAAGGTGCACTCACGCAGACGCACAACAAGACAGGACATTATGCCAAGTAAATACATGTCTCACGTGCTGGGACAACCCGCTCCCTCCGTAACACA